CTAGGAGGATGTGATGGGAGACAATGTAAAAAGCCTTTGTAACAACTTTTTGGACTTCCTGCTCAAACTCTTAAAGACTGGCAAAGTAACCAGCCTCCCAAATCAACACTTTTGATTAAGCAGTCTAGTTGTCTTCCACTTTTCCTTAAGGCACCAACTGAATTTTCTTTTGGCTAAGGAATGTTCTAACTGTCATCACAAAGTGAGAGTTTTATCGAATATTCATCTCTCGTGATAGCAGTTTCTCTCCAATCTAGTATAGGTTTTGGAAGATTAGTTTAAGTTTCCTATTTGACATGAAACAAATGAATTAATTAACACTTTTATTTTAATAAGTTTTTCTAAATATAGAGCAATCAAATTACTGCTAAGTAGTCTATAATAAATATTCACATTTTCAGGCTTCTGAATGGTAATGACTTGCTTTTAATCTTGTTTGCCTTCTGATTAAAAATGCACAGGACTTGGTACCAACCAAGGATGAATACTTTATCTCTGAAGCTGAAAGCACGCAAGAACCTGCATAATTTTTAGCAAGAGGAAAATCTAATATCCTCATTTCTTGGAAGTTTTATGTTTCACATACTAAAATGCTGGTGTGTGCCTACATATAGGCATTGTTGAATAAAGCATCTGTATATGATTATTTTCTTGCTAAAGGAACAAATATGGTTATATGTTGTTGGTGATTTCTCTTGTCAGTATAAACTTCCACCTGGAAATTTTTTGATTACGTAGATACATCATTGTGCTACGTTCCCAAAATAATGGAAAGGCATATCGCAGGGCTGGGTACTGTTTACACCGATGCAGTCTTCTAATGGGCTTTCAGAATTCTTTCAATTATTTGGGAGAGTGGAAAACTAAATATAGCCCATGTAACGAGTCTGGTAATGAAGAGTTGCAGGAAGAACAACTGTTATGGCTGTTCAGCGCATAGTGAAACTTCCATTGATTGATGCAGTCAAGCCTTCAGAACAAGTCAGACTGAAATGTCATCTGGAGGTAGGCTAGCACTTTTATTTAAAAAAAAAAACACTAAACATAGAAAACTCCATATTATGAATGATATTTTGTTGCTCTTCAAATACATGTGTTTTGAAGGCTGCTGATAGCAAAAGTAGATATATATAAATGTTTCTTTGATGTTCTGTTTAGACATGCATCTGTCAGATGGTGTAGTTTAGGTATATTATTAAATATAACAAGCTTAAACATCGCATATCACAGGAGAAAATGTTTGCATTCAGACAACTGAACCTCAAGGCAATAAACAGAAATTTTGATATACATTGAACATCAAGTGATGTTGCCCTGCTTTTGGAGAATGGAAAGTTTTGCTAATTGTGTTTTTGGTAACTGGATAGTGTATCATTCAGAAGATGAATAAACAGCTGCAAATTTTCTCAAGGAGTGACAAGTTCCAATCAGGCTAAGGTATTAATCTATTTCACCTTTCCAGTGGCAATTTCATTTCCTTTTTCTTCATTATTTTGAGTTACTAACAACTTTCTTTAGTATAGGAAGCTGTTTTCCATTTAATTTCATGCTTGCTCTCAGGTTTAGTAGGAGAGATGAATTCTTGGAAACTGGGACGAATGATGTATGTGAAAACAGTTGCTTAAAACTCAAGATGCATCAGAATCAAAATGTAGTGAACATATGTTGAAATCCAGCCTCACGGGCAGGTGATTAAACAGTATCTTGCAGCAAACCATTGCTTTGGTACACAACTGAATTTCTATGTTTTGATACGGATCCATATTTTTAGGTTCATGGCATTAAAGAAAAAGCATTTCTGTTATTTCCATGTTTGCCACATCACAGATTTAAATTGTAAAAGGGGAAACATTGTGGTGGCTACACATTGGGACAAGTTACTTAAGAGGCTGTGGAAACTTCCTCCATGAAGGTGTTCAGATCTAGGCTGGAGATTACCCCAAAGAGCATGATCTAACTTTGGAGTTGGATCCAACTTCAAAGCAAGTCTTGCTCTGAGTATGAGGTAGGACTAGACAACCTCCAGAAGTCCTTTCCAAACTACATCACTCTGTGATTCTAAACAGCACTGAGAAAATGGGAATATGCAGTATCTAGTAACTGGAGTAACTGCAAATTACATAGGCTGTTGTATTTGATGATTTCCAGAAAAAACAACAAAATGAGCATTGTAGACTTCATCCTCACTTGCAGTTTTTTTGGAGTTATATGTCCTGCAAGTATGAAACTGAGTGGGGTTGACTAATACCTACAGCTTATATATCTTTTGTTTAAAGAAATGAGCTGGTGTTGCTTTTGTGCGGAACAAACCAACTTGAAGCCTAAGATCTATGAAACAATCTAAAGTGTGAATGGAAATCACTGAAGTCAGATGAATTGTTCCCAGGAATTTTACTCAGCTGTGGATTGTGTCCTTAATTATTATCTTATTTAAAGGTCTAATTTGAAACAATAAGTGAATTCTAATAAAACCTTTCTGTTTTGCAATATGACTTAATGTATGGAAAAATGGCTAGACATCTAAATTACATGCTGTCTTCCTATTAAAAACTGGTACCCCTTCATTATACTTTCTTCTCAAAATCTGACTCAGAAGTTGAGAGATGCAAGCTCACTTCTTCAGGTTCAATTTACGGATGAAACATTTAAGAGAGAAGCATTTTCATATTGTTCTCATAACTTTCCAGTATCACTTAAAAGAAAACCAAACAGAAGTTTTCTGTTTTGGTGAGTTCGCTGTTAAAATACTAATGCAGAAAAGTTAAGCAGCAGAATGAAGTGGTCTGTTTTTTTGAGCTGAGGTGCTATGGATTTGTGTGTGTATGTGTTTTGACCACTTTGAACTAGGTTAAGATTTTCAAAGCTTCTAAGAGGAAGATTATTTACACCCTTCTGCCCAGTCATTCTCTGTTATTTCTCCGTGAGCCAAAAAGACCTGTTTTAGTCCTGTACAAGTAGAAATATTTCATTCGACATAAGTTGGGATAGTGGTGGTGTCTTAGCTTGCTGAGAGCTGCACTCCGTGAATTGACATCAATAGAGGAAGAAAAGGAGCAGAGCCAAAACAAACTGACTCCATTTTTCTTTCCAATGGAGGCCCATTTTAATCATCTGCAGTGGCAGTACAGTTGAGTAGCTTTCCTCAGATGCAACCCCCAAGGGATCAGCATCTCTACCGAATCTCTTAATTTCATGATATTACTCTTAATTATTGTTGTATAGTTCGCAATTTATCCCCATGAATATGTTGTTAGTATTTGCTGCTTGAAAATATCACAGCTGTGACTTGACACATCCCTTGGAAGCTGAGCCACCGTGGCTTGCATGTGACCTCAGATGAGCAGGGAGAGGAGGGAGAAAAAGAAAAGAAACAGCAGATCTTTAAAATGAGGAGAGCCTTGTAAGGTGAGGTGAGAGGTTGTCTTATCAATTATGAACAGGTTTGAGGCTCCCAGGGCTGTCAGTGATTTCACTTAGATTTATTTTTAACAAGTGGCATGAAAGATTTGATTTTTGTATCGATTCAGTGTATGCTAAAGTAAGAGGTTTTAACACTCAGACACTCTAATGTGTTTTTTTCTTAGTTTCACCACTAATTTTTTTTGTCTCTCTCTATATAAAGCTAAAATTCAAAGCAACTGATATTATGTTGTTAAAAGCTTGGAGCGATTAATTAGAGAATTATTTTTTAATTCATTTGAATGATGATGATGATTATCTAAGTTCAAATATTTTAAGAGAAATGACCATAAAACATATTAATACATATTGCCTTTTTTACTAAGCTGGGATGCTAAGCAAAGGAGTAATTTCCCTCCTATCTTTCTTCCAAGGCAACAAACTAGTTCATGGAGTTGGATCAAATGGAGTTAAATACAGTCAGTCAAAACCTGGTAAAAATATTTTTTATTTGAGAGTCTTTATCTGGGAAATTCTTTCCAAGTTGCGATCTGCCTGAATTTTATTGTTGGTTTTTAAGATTGTAGACCTATATAATCATTTCTGAGCAAAATGTTTGAGATCCTAAATGCTATCATAAAAATGCCTTCACACTTTCATTAGGCAGTGAACTAAAACAATTTGCATATTTTTATTAGGCTCTATTAGGATTAGGTCCTAATTAGACTATCTCTTGGAAATACAAGAGCTATGTAGATTCACTGTCATACTAAACAAAATGAGACATTTCTTATTAACAGAATGAAGAGAAGAATGACCATTTTGGAGAGAAACTTCAGTTGTCACTAGCAAACTAATCTGTGGTCTATTTTAACATGTTTCACTGTGATTTTGCTGTAGAATTTTTGCTGTAGAACCTTATGAATTTATGAAATAAAATTACCATTTTTCTTGGGCCTAGGAATCTGTTTGCTGTGGGTAATACCTGGTGATGACTTCAGCGTTTGCAAAGTTTCACTACTTTTATGATGAGGATGCACTTGAATATTAACATTGTATTTTCACTTTTCTTCTTTTGATTTTCTTGTAGACATTTCAGCAATCTTCTCTACAGCAGAAAAGTAAAAAGAAGAACAAAGGTAAAAATTAAGTTAGTTTTAACTTATTGGTAGGAAGGAAATTGCAAACATTAGTATTTACAGTATTGCAGTATCTTAGGAGTTAGAACTTGTTAGCTCCCACCAAATGTATAGCTCTGTTGACCACATGAAGAAGCTATTAGTCCATTACTGATGTCTCATAGTTTTCAAATTTTCTCCTGTCTATATATATATATATAATTAGTCATTATCATTTTTTTATATTTATACTGCAGCCTCTTTGGGAGCAGGGTTGTGTTTTTCACCTACGTGCATATAAGGCCTTTCTGCAGCCCTTGCTGATTACTAGAACACCTAGGCTGTCTGGTAATTCATACAGTACTAGACTGTCCTCCTTTGATTTAGAAGTACAAAGACTTTTTAAGAACTGATTAGTTGCAAGAGGAGCTACACGGAGAGATTTCTGCATCTCTGTCAAGTACTTACATAGTTGTATTTGACAAAAATACAAAAAATTAGCAGCCAGCTGTGAAAGTACATGCATTTATATGCTGTATGCTTTAATCTGGCATGAAATATTAATTTGCTGAAATGATAAATAACCATTTTTCGTATTTTTAAATATCTTGCCTTTCCTTTCTCTCTAACCTCTTCTCTTTCCTTGTTGCTTTTGTTTATTTTATTTTGTCTCATCCATAGAATATGAGCTCTGTGAGGTGGTGAACATGGTTTGTTTTGTTTCATTGTTTTTAACTTATGGTACCTTGCATAGCCTCTGTGACCCAAGTAAAAGGTTTGTAATAATTTAATAATGGCAAATTGAGGTTGAAATGTTTGATTAATATTCTTAAGCAAATATATATAGTGCTTTCTGGCTAACTGGCTTGTTGATGTGGTGGACAAATCAAACTCTTTCACATCAATTCTTTGTCATTTTCAGCTCCTATGCCCGGTAAAAGCAAAAGAAGGATCTCATGTAAAGATCTTGGCCGAGGGGACTGTGAAGGCTGGCTTTGGAAAAAGAAAGATGCCAAGAGCTATTTCTCCCAGAAATGGAAGAAATATTGGTTTGTTCTGAAAGATACATCCCTATACTGGTATATCAATGAAGAGGTAAGCATCTTTGCTCGTTGTTTTATCAAAAACCCTGTGCAGTACTGTTGTCATGATTTAGTGGAAAGCCAGTGCTTTAAGTGCTTATATGTGTGAATGATTTTATTCACCCAAGTAATCATACTGAAATTAATATTAACTCCCTGACTGAATTACGTAAATGTATTTGGCCCTTCAAATTCACCTTTTCCTATAAGGAGAAAAAACACTATTTTCTGTGCCCTGTTCTCACCAGTTTAGAATAAATCTCTCATTTTCTCGCCATTCAAACTCTTGGAAGGGAAAAGTTATTTATTTAATCCTATCATTCAAACTTAGTCATGGGAAGGTAAACTTTAATAATGTGCTGGCTGGGATACCTTGTTTGTCTGTGCCAGTGAAATCACCAAAAGCTCTGCTAATTACAGAAGATGCATTTGTTTTTCAGTTGTGTTCTCCTCTCGTTCTTTCTACATAGCTTCTGATATAATTTCAGCACTCATATATGCTGAACTTAAGAGCACCAGAGCAGCCCAAATGAATTGTGTACAGCTTTGATTGTGCAACGTATTTTGCATTAGTGCAGGCTTATTTATGTCAGCTTTCGTAAAAAAGCTTTTTGCCAGTGAGGTAGGAAACCCTAATTTTTAAGTAACACTAGTCTCGTTTGTAAATGTACTAAAATAAAGTCATTGCCAGCATGTGGATGTACTCAGTCCAGGATTGCCGTTTTTGTTACTTTAATCACTGTGAGCATTTGCACACAACTTATTTAAAATGTTATGGTCCCAAATTTTTCCCTGGGTAGATAGAAAGTCGTTCCATGAACAGATTTACCAAAGCCTCATTTCCCACAGACTTGAACCCAGCTTCGAATCAATAACCTCAACTCCCCTCTCTCCTTCCTCCCTCCCCAAGGTCTACTATGAGGTCTTTATCTGGGTCGTAATTCATAGCTACGAATACAATGACTGGTCACCAACTGTGGCCAAGGAGAGTGTGGAGTTGCTGAGTTGTGCCCTACTTTCTCTTGGAGAAGGCAATGGTCTGAGCATCCCCTTCTCTTCCCTTTCCCAGGTTTCCATGAGACTTGCTGGAACTTGGTTTTCTCTGAGACTTGCTTGACAAAAGTGGTTGCAAACACCAACAGATTCAAAAGCTGTTGCGGGGGGAGGACTCAGTGACAGATGGACAGACAAGCAAACAGTGCTCTTGCCAAAATTTTATTTTTAGGCAACCAGGCAAAAAATTGATAGCAAGATTATTCTAAACAGTCCTCTTTTGACTTTAAAGTACCTGCTAGTGCAAAACCTGTTACAACCTTGTATCTCACACAAAACAACTCCAGTTCCAGTTTTCTCTGATGTTTTGTGGCAAAATAGCCATAATAGACTGCATATGTAGCAAATGTAGCCATGGAGATTCCAAAAAAGGGAGATGTAATTCTGTGGAATTCCTCAACATACATTTGTGTTTTCTGCAGCTTCACGCCCATGATGCTATATTAAATAACGCTTTCAAATTGTGAAAAGACTAGGGAGATTCACTATCTGATAAAATAAACTATGTACAAATCTTTAGAGGAGAAGGGAGGAAGGTCAGGTGTCTGCTCTGTGAGTATTGGAGAGATAAAATAACTGAATCGTACCTAACATATCAAAAGTAACTGAATCAACTATTATGCATCTTAGCTGTGATATCATTTAAAGACGGTAAAGAGTGCAAATTCAGATTGCTTTTTTCCCTGTCCCTTACAATACTCTGCATTGCTCCTTACTAATTAGTCCATCCTCCCCCCAAATTAATTAATTATGTTGACTAATTGCCTGAATACATTTGGTCATATTGTATATTTCCAAATGCTGTTTCAGCTGTGAAATTGTTTGAGGAAACTGGGTATTTTAAAATTGTGTTTTACACCAAGGGATCTATCTTACTACTTTGGCAAAAGTCCCAGTGACTTCTGCGGGAGGTTTACCAGAGCAGAGCACACATTAGTATTCCTTATCTAAGAAGCATGCAAGTGAAAATATATTTCTTATGCTAAGTTTTCAGTGAATTTTTTGACACCTTAACAACAGTAATATCTAGAACTGTCTTTGCAGGACGAAAAAGCAGAAGGATTCATCAGTCTACCTGAATTTAAAATTGACAGAGCCAGCGAATGCCGCAAGAAATAGTAAGTATACTCCAAAGTAATGCAATGCAATGATAGAGGAGAAAAAGTGGAACAACGGACAAAGTTTTCCCGTACAACAGTGACGTTACGGAGTTGTTACCATGGTCATTGGTTACATCACAGAACAAGGTCATACAGAACAGCCAAATTCTGGTGTGGTTTTTGTGTGCCATTTTTCCTAAAGAAGGATCTGTAGCTATCATGAATCACAGTGCTTGACCACAGCAAAATGCATTAAAAGCAAGCATTAAATGCTTGACTGCTCCTATTCCTTTATTACTTTACTAGTTTTAGGCTTTCTCCTTCCCTTTCCTTTTTTTTTAAAAACATGGAATCACTGAAAATTGTACGGAAAAGCAATTGCAAAAGTAAAATGGCATTTCCTTGTAATTTATAGTACATACAGTTCTTAAGAAGACACTGACCTTGTCCCACTTGATTTACATATCCCTTCAGGATGAACTCTGATCTTCATGATGATCTCAAAGGGTAGAAAATGAGAACTACATTAAAAAAATTTGGGATAAGCTTGGGCTTATTGTCCTGTGTCCTTGGGCTACACTGCTGAAGTACTTCCTTTTTAATTTTTGTTAGGCAGCGTCGTTGTTAAGTCAACTCACTTCTCAGAATTGCACCCTGCTTAATTTTTTTTTCCTTTGCTATGTGCTGGATAGTGGAACATAAAATGTGGCTATTAAAATTCCTTACTCAGGTGGCTGATAAAGAAAAAAGACTCTAAGAATGCAGACAACAGATGCTGTAACAATTTTAAGAAGTCACGTTTAGGGTCTTAGTTAGTTGATGATGTCTTTCTAAACTGAACAGATGTCACTGTACATCTGTTTTCACTTGCATAACATTATGTCATACTCTAATGTGCACATGAGTCCTTTTGGTCTCAATTTTACATGTTATCCTCGCTAGCAGTTTCCTGGATTACATATATCTGGTTTCTGAAAACCTATTTTCATATATAGACATATGTATTTATATGTGTATGTGTATACATATGCATATGTATGTATGTGAATGCATGTGTGCATACATATATAGATACACAGAGAGAGAGATGTATGCTGTATTAATCTAATCCATTGTTTCTCAGAAAAATGGTAATGATACTCTTTATGTGTATTATACTTTTTCTTATTTTCTTTGGGATTATTAGGCATTTTTGTTCTTATTTTAAGAGTGTATTTATTTCAGGCTATTCTCAAAAATGATTCTTCTGTACTATAAATTATTAAAATACTTTCACATTCATTTTCTAGATCTTCAAATACTTCACTATAAATCTTTATCCAACATAGTTGAAAAATTCTTTCAAGTAATTTATTTCTTATTATGTGTGAAATGCTGTAATTCTCTCGGCCTAGTCATGTTGATTACTTTGGTGGAAAGGAAAGATGAGATGTAATTGCCCATTGCTTGGTATGACCTCAAGAACATATTGTTGATTTATAACTGCTTTTCAGAAATCAATCAGTGCATCACACTTTTCTGTTTGAAACCCAGTAATTAGAACTAAAGGTAATGTCAAGGTCATTGGGATGTGAAAAGTCATCAGGACTGAGAGTTTTTCTGTTGTATTGAATAAGTTGTTCCATCAATTTTCTGTTCAGAAAGAATTTTACACCTCTAGATCCGTCAGCAAAGTTGCTTGATTAATAAAATATTCTTTAACTGTTTAACTTTTATCCAAAAGCAGTATAGTGTAAGTGATTGATCTCTATTTATGCATATATGAATCAAATATTATTTAGAAAGGGGTAGTTGTAGTGCATTTTGGACAGTGAAGTCTGGCACAATCCTAAAAGTTGTGTTTATACCCTGTTTGTGGGATTTTAACAATCCAGGAAATCTGAACTCATCTCATTGGTCACTTCACTATCTTATATTAAAAAAAAAAAAGCCATTATGTTTTTATAATTATGTTTTTCCTCTACAGCGCGTTCAAAGCCTGCCATCCTAAGATCAAAAGTTTTTATTTTGCTGCTGAACATCTAGATGATATGAACAGGTAAGGAAAACTAGCAAAGTTCAAGGACCACAGTAATACAGGAACATAGTGATAACAAGTTACGTGTTTATCTAAATTAAAAGTTAAGTTTAATAGTTGAGAAAATAATTGCAGAGCAGCATTGTTTCTGAGTGGTTGCAATATGCTAAGTATTCCATTTATGCAAAAATTGCCTTTTTTGAAGTGAAGATATGAAGATTTTAGAAACAAGATTCCTTCTTTTTGAAAAGAAATAAAATCCACTTTTTGAAGATAAAGTGCAAGCAAGATTTTAGAATTTCATGTTTCTGTAAAGCTGCTCTTGGATGTGCAGCACCTGCAAAGGAGCAACATCTCCAAGTGCTTGCTCACATATCCCCACAAGCACATGGTACTCGCTCCAGTGATGCTTCTCTCTGTTTCTGGCCTTGTGGGAGTGAGAAGTAGGAGAAAGCTTTATAACAGTCACTGATCTTTCTTCTGCCAATCTTGAAAAAGGCACTAGAAATTGTAAATAGTGAATTTTCCAGGTTTTCTCTACTGACATGAATTTAACCTACAAGTTAAAGTGAAATTTTGGTTTTATTGGAATAAGCGGGAAAAATCTCAGCAACTGGAAAAAAGTAAGAAGTTAAGTCTTAGTTCTTGGGGACTGAGCTTAGCTGTACCATTTTTAGTCCATCTCTGAAATTTTACCCAAAAATGCTTGAAACTTCAGCACAAAATAAATACAATTACTCTTAATTCATTCGACTGGAGGAATGACATCCATTTCATCTCTATTCACATATGTGCTTTTTATTTCATCTGTTTTCACAACATAAAATAATTAATTCAGTTCAAAATAATATATAACTTCCATCATATGACAGATGACCTAAACAGAAATCTGATTGCAAACTGAGACTCACTTTCTCCTAGATTATGTTTGTGGACATCCTAACTGAGGGAGACTGTGTGCTTTTCATAAAAGCAAAAAAAGGAGATAAAAGTCTAAGTAAAAAAAACTAGTAAAACTAGTTAGTAAGTGCTATGATCATTTAATCTCTACTATGTGTGCTAGAATCAGCTACCTTTAGGAAGAGCATTTTCAGGGAACTGCCAGTTCTTTACCATTAATTGACTGAAAACACATACCAATGCTGCATACTGTGCTTACTGTTATTTAGAAATAGTTGCCTGTTTACATTTTCAAAAGCTCATACGTGACTAAGGATCACTTTCAAAAGTCTCTGGCCAGTTAGAAGCTTCAAACTCTTTTATTTCTTTGTAAAATTTTAGGCTTGTCTTTACTTGATAATTCTGTCAAGCCAGTGACTCAAAGTTCAGGTTGCTGCACACTAAACAGAATAATGGCATGGTCTATTCAGCATATCCTGAAGAACAGCAATAGGTAAATCTTTGCTGTCAGTAGGTCCTCAGTCATGACAAGATGCATTGTTTCTGAAGAGGAAAATATATAACTGTTCAGTAATCAGAAAGCAGCAGCAAATGTGCATCAATACATTGAAAACTATACTGCACAGCCTAAAACTAACTCAGTAACTAGAAGGTTTTTAACCTCCTAACATGAGTAATCTGTTTATGTTTTGGAATTTATTAATTCATTAAGAATGAGCTTGACCCAGTTTTGATCTGAGTTATACGCATGTAAATTTGAAGCAGCTCCATCAAGGTCTATGAATTCAAGTAATTCAAGGTCAAGAATTTCAAGTAATTCTTACCAGTCTTCAGTGCCATCAGAGTCTCACCAAATAATTTTATTTTTTCTCTTTGTTTAATGTACGAAAAAAGTACTTCACTTTCACCAACCTTGAATTAACTTGATATATTGGAGAAAATGTGGATTATTGAAAAATAATCTTTTAAATCCAGATGTGGAAATAAAATAATATAATAAAATGCTTCTTGTGTAAAAGCATGTTCTAGCCTAGCAAAACTAGGTCAAAACATTCTAAGTCAATGTATCAAAAATTAAATTAAGACTGATTTGATCACTTTCTGTACTTTTTTGTCAGGTTTCTGATGTACATTTTAATTATGTATAATACAGTCAGTTCAGTACTGTTTATACTTGAGGCAGAAGAAAAGAAAGTAGCAAACTGTTAAAACATAGCCTTACTGAAGGTTAGAATTAGTTCATTTCCTCCATCCCTTATGTAAAATAATGATTTAGTTATTTAAAAAAAATGTATTTGTATGAAGGACCCATGAATTTTTCATTTGTGTGAGTAGATGCTCACATAAAATGTGTATTTTAGTCTTAGGTAACTCTGACACTGTTCAGGTTATCTTGCTACCTTTGTGACTCTGCCACACCATTATGCTGGTAAGGAGTCTGGAGAATTATGACTCTGCAGGTTATTACTGTGGCATGTGAAGTTCATTTCATCTACATTGTTAGACCAGCAAAAGTGTTCTTTCTATCCATATAGCATGTTTTGTTTGAGTGTGAAGAAGGATGGAATATCCTTCATTGGTACAAAGTACAGTTTTGTTGGTATAAGTGTGTATTCATAGAAGCACATTGCTTGGAAGCTCATTGTTAATCCTATTCCAGGAAAATACTTCTGATGTCGAGTCCAGACCTTGTATTTCTACTTAATGGTATTACATGTAATTCTGTTTTGATTTTCCATGGTAATTGTGTCTTCTGCTTTATGGATTCAATATATATGTTCTTTACTCAAAGATCCTGATCTTTTACTTAGAGGCAAAAGTGGCTTCTTCAGGGTTGGCTGGCTTAGGTACTTAGTGCATCCTTATTCTTCCTTTTTATTTAAGCAGTCCTTTTTTAAAGTGATGACATACATGGCTGCCAAAATTGTATTTCCTGGGCAGGGGAAGAGATAATAGTCAGTAACGTCATGTTGAATAGTAGTCTGAGAACTTCCTTGAACCTGCTGTAACTGATTTGTCCTGTCTGTTTTTGTGAGTAGGCAGAATACTGAAATTTGTAAGAACTTTCTTCCTTAATGTAGCTCTATGATCAAAAGCAAAGATGACAAGTCAGCTTCTAATATTAGCACATGAGAATATGTCTGGAAGATTTCAGTGAAGATGACCTCCAGAAAATTTCCAGCATCATCTGCAGGTCTCTTCATTTTAGTTAAACTACAGTTGATTACCTATAGACACTAGAAGATGGTGTCTATCTTGCTCCTATATAGCAAGCTCATCCTGTATCCTCAAGCCTTATGATTAAGGGCAATTTGACTAGAAGCATTGCATCTCCCTAGGGTTTGAGAAAAGACAGAAGAACGTTTCCTATTATTCTGTGTGAAATTGAGTGCTGCGCATTCCCCTTTATAGCAGTTATAGGTCTAGAAGGTATTTTTTTATATGGATCCATGTAAATCATAAAATTGTATTGATTAAGCCCTGACAAGGAATGTATGTGCTATTCTTAAAAAGAAAAACAAAACCAAAAAAGTCTAGATGACTGCTGCAGCTACCAGTATTTCTGCATTTATTGTCATAGCTAAAAAATGCATTTTTATAATTCTCACAAAAAAATTCAAGCTGCATTTGCAGTAAGGAGGAATATTTTCTAGGCTTCTTGCCCTCTAAAAGTTACAGTGGTTACCAAGACAGAGCACATCATCACTGAGAATAGGTCTTTCCATGTCCTAGGAGTTTGCAGATAACTTTCAAGTAAGATTTTAGTATATCTTTTAATATTCATAATAGGGAACTTTTGTGTAGCTGTACACTTGGAACTCTTGTCCTAAATATTTTGTAAAGAAGGAATGTTTTATGCCTCTTCCGTTCTTCAGCAGATCCTAATGTTTCCCTGTGACAGAAACCCAGTATGTTGAATTTCTCATGTGATTCTAACTTCAATGAAACATAACTCTAGCTGTGCTTTATTGAAATAATCTAATACTCTACCCATGTCTATTCTAACCATACTTGAAGACGCTTTGCACTGTGGCTATGTATCAGCAAATACACCTAAGGAGTCAGTACCATTCTTTTAGTTTCTGAACTAACAAACCACTCAAAAGCCATGGTCCATAACTGCCTACAGCCACACCAGTACCTTGTCTTTCACCTCACAGGCATGGCAAGTGATATTCCAAACCACGACACAAATCATGAGCTGCAGAAAATCATTAAATGTGATCTCTCTTAGATTGCTATATGTTTCCTGGGTTATCATTAGATTATACATCTCAGGAAATAACTTCTTTGTGGAAAGAATAGTCTGCTATCGATATAACCAGTATCAGTTGACTGTCAGTTAGCTGTTTGCTAACTTAATAGGTTACCTCACTCACTGTTCTGCACCCAAAACAATCTTTCTAATATTTAGAATGGAATGAAGTTTTCCAACAGAAGCACCTTTGTAGGACTATCTTCTCACATTTTCTGGTCTATTCAGCCTGATTCAGTAGCTAACTGTCTTGTGTTGGCTGCATTGAGTAGTAATAACCTGTGAACTGAGGATGTGAAATCTGCAACAGGCAAGAGGCAAGCGAGACTCTGCCGCTGTTGGCTGCCACACTGTTTGAGAGAGCAGTTGCTTTTTTGTGCTGCTCTACCCTTTGCACAAGGACGAGTGTTTGGTCTGTTGCTCATTCCCCCACGGTGAGAGGCTGCCGTTCTTTGCGTGTGGCTCCTGTCATTCGGCCTGTCTGATTTGGGGTGGAGAGAAAGCTCTGGCAGAACTGTCAAGACGACTGAGCTTTCGACATGTTGACATTTCGACATTCCCCCAGAGGAAGCCTTCATGTTTCAGGAACGCAAACCTAAACGAAAGCTTTGGAGGGGGTCACTTTATCTGCCGTGAAGATGTGAACAGTTGTCTGAGGCACGATTTGTTGGATTTCTGTTCCAATGTGCCAGTTATTTTTATATGTCTGTGGCAGTTCCTAACAATTGCAACTGAAATTTTAAGTCTCTTTGGCTTCTCTTTCCTCCTATTCTTCTGGCAGTAATTTTGATTGTATGCTAACATGAAATATCCTGTAATCACTTCAGGACATCTCTAGCATTCTTCCCAAAGTACAATTGGGAAGATTTATTGACCATTAGTGTTACTCACAGACCATACATGTGGTCACAATTTGCGGAAGGACAGTGATGGAAGTTTATTTCAGGGAGAGCAATTATACATTACCGTCTAATGTCTGCATACCCTGCCCTGAATTATCCTGAGGGCTGACATTCAGGGGTGGTTACAAAGGATACAGTCTCTCCATTGCTGAGCAAATATTATGTTGTTTCCTTATATACAGTACGCAAATGAAACCCATCAGGCACAGTTTTCTGAACCAAGACTTTCACCTTCTTCAAGAAAATGTGAAAGTAACTTCAGTTGTCCTTCTCTGGATATTAGCACTAAAATTGCAAGCCACTAGCTTGGCAAATAAGGTCTGCCAAGTCCTGACTATGGGATGACTAGAGTAAGTAATTCCAGGTTTACCAATGGGAGGCTGTCATGTTGGTTTAAAGCCTCATTGATGGAGGAAATGATTTAGTGTAAGCTTTTGGAAAACGAATACCCTGAGAGCCCCATGAGGGAGAAGGGCACGTTGAAGCAAGGCTTTGCTACAGGCAGTTGAATCTGTGCTTCACAATGACAGCACTGCCAGAAGAGAATAGCAATCGTTTATTTTTAATTCGTGCAGCTTATGGAAGCATTTTTTCAAGTAAAGTTGAGGTTAAAGCCTTAGATGTGAATTGCATTGAGGCAACTGTCTTTTCCTCCTCTGCTTGTCTGACACGAACACAAAAGTGAATTCTGATATGCCCCCTTTTCTTTGTACTTGGCACTGTAGGTAAGCTCTAAAACGCATAATGGCATAATTAAACCTCACTGTCTATTTAGGAGTGAACCTGTTCTTTTGACTGCTGGTTTCTGCTCTGTTCCTCTGTTAAGATGCCAATTCAGGCCTTAAAATATTGCTTAAATCTCTGAAAAGTGGTGTTTATTCTTAAGAAATAAGAACAGCGGGAGTATTGGTGTGATGGCATATCTGTGAGCAGCAGACTTAATGGCTCTTTGATTATCTCAGAATCCTTTATTTTACAGATGTTTGACATCATATGTGGTTTTCCATTTGAAACAAGATCTTTGCTGTGGAAACAATTTGTTCAACAGTAAAATTATAGATCTTTGGCGACACCCTGAGTAAAAGTATCAAAGAGAACAGCTGTCTTGCATGAAGAATAATATTGTCCTGAATTGCCTTCAGATGCTTATAACTTTGTTCTTTTTGGTAGAAATGCACCCAAAGTTAACATGCTGGATCAGTATCACTGCTTTTATTTCAATATTATTTCAGATGGCTAAACAGAATTAACATGCTTGCTGCTGGCTATGCAGAAAGAGAGAGGATCAAACAAGAGCAAGGTAATGTGTTATTATTTTGGTTGCTTCTGCAACTCTTATCACAAGTTCATCTGTTCTTCCCCATCAGGCCCTCTTCCCTTCCCTTCCCCATCAGGCCTCATTCCCATCATCTGAGAGTAATTCACATATGGGTGTCGTGGTTGTTGCTTTAGAGAATTCCTTCTCTCTCAGGATGTTTGATTAACACCTTCAGATTCTGATCTGACTCTTGGATTATTTCTGAGAAAGCCACAAAAGGTGGCTAAAAGCAGCTAATTGACTTCCACTTAGCTCAGATACACTGTACCAGGAAGCCTGTGTCTCCCATAAGAAAAAAAGAATCTGCAAACTAAAAAAAATTTAAAAAAACATTGCACTTGATGTTTGAATTCACAGGGAGCAGGAACGCATCAAATAGTTCTCAGGAACAAAACCATTCTTCTAAAGCCTGTTGACATAATTGGATTTCCCTTAAAGGCTTTAATTTTAAGGTTCCTTAATTTTCTGTTTCTGGTGTTTTCATTAGACTGAGGTGTGTGCTCGAGCTCTGCTGGCCTTTTCAATGAATGACGCACTTCATTTGCAGTTGTAGATTTACAACATTTTTCCTGTGCTTTTTTAGTGTCTAGTATAACATGGGTTTAAAAAAGCAGCACATATAAAATAATAAGTCTCTTCCCTTTAGTTTGCTGTAGTAGAAATCCTTTCCCTAGGTAGGAAAAAGAATGGGGCAGTGCTCCATCATGTTGGGCATGTTATTTCCAGAATTGCCAGTGACTTGGATTCACAGAAGTATTTCTATTCAACTAGTTGGTTTGGCAAACAACTGCCTTGTGAATCCATACTCCCTTTTTACAGCTGTACCTGGCAGGACACACCAGAAAATTGCACTGATCGTGGTGATCCAGAACTTTTCTGGGTACCTGTCTGCATGCTGACAGCTGAGTCAGACTATCACTTTTTAATTCTATGGCTGCACAGTCTTCATCGGTGAGGTTCTGTATTTCCTCAGTGAGAAGCAAGGGTGATTCCAGCAGCCAGGCAGAAACATCAGGAGACTAAAATATTCAGTAATGGTAGGAGATTAACAAGCAGCATCAGAAAGGGTGCCTGCCTTGATTCATACAGTGATTGCCTCACCACAGAGCGCACTAGAGGGCTCAGCATGGTTCAAGAGCAGTGGCTCACAGCATACTGCCTTAATTTGAAGGCAGCAATGTGGGTGGAAAGGTTGGGGGGCATTCTGTCTTTCTCTCAGATCACTAGATTGGGCATGCTGTTGCTTCCTCTCTAATCATATCTTCTATTAAGTGCAGCTGCTTATTCCAGGAGCTTTGCCTGCCACCCGCTTTAGTGTTTGGTGTGGTCCATAGCGACATCAAGTCATTCATAACATCAGGCCCCCTGAGTTCAGATAGCACAGGGTAGCAGAGCCATGCTCACGTGTTCCTCCAGTCACGTTCTCAGGCTCTCACTAAAACATTCTTAACTTCAAAACAAATTTGGGACTCTGTTTCTGAGGCAGTATTGAAATAACCAATTTTGAGGGACCTATATACCATTTGTCATTGCTTGACGAGGTCTTGAAGAATCTCTGCATATTAGACTCTTTTAGGAAGTCATCCATGTTAGCATCCAAAGCCATAATCAAGCTTTTAATGACATCAGGTTGGAACTGGAATTACGGAAGCATTTGGGACAGTAAGGGAAAAGGTGTATGAACAGTTACGCTAACACGGTCCAAGTGCACAACTGCAGGTATAATGCACTTTTATAAATCCAGATGGATTTGGAGAAATATTTTTCCTACCAAGCAATCACCAAGCAGTAAAATAACGGATGATCCAGTTCTTAGACATGGGACCATGTGCACTCAGGTCTCATTATACCTCTTATTTGAATGGCTCCCTCTTTAAGATTGTCACTGAGACTCCACTTACTATAGGAATGATATCCCTGGCAATGAGGGAGTTCTTTATTACTTCTCTAGTGCCCTTCACTAGAATTGTTTTATCAGATGTAGGTAGGGAAAGTTATATCCTCTTTATCTGTTGCATATTTGTGTTTAGTCGGGTGAACAGTATCACATTGCCCACTTGCAGCAATACAGTATTTTTATACCTCTGGTGATTATCCTTGGCTCCCAGCACAAGGGCTATTAAATTGCTGAGCAGTGTCCCTAATTAGCAGAGGCATCAAGTTAGCAAACCTCTCTATCACTTCAAGCGGTTTTGGGATTATAAAACTGTGAAGCTGGAATTTTCTGTATTCAGTGACTGTCCCAATTGTCATCTACATATTTGATTTTACAAAAGATCTTTTATTTCTGTTCAGTTCAGCCCCTTGCAGCACGGCTTTATAATACCTCTGAAACAATTCAACAGTAGTTGTCAAACCTGCTTCAATTAAGAGTGGAATGGTTCTGAATCTAAAGTGCATAAATATATTTCAAGTGCTTCAGAGATGCACGAATCACCAAATTGTGGGTGTATTGCTGAAGAAAATGTGACATTCTGTACAGAACAGTTTTATAAAAATACCATCAACTTTCTGTATTAAATATAGTGAATGTTATCAACGTGGCAAGGGACTTCTTTGGATGGGGAAGTTGTATACTTTCCAGTCATATAAAATCAGAGAAAAAAATATTTCCTTATATTAGTAGAAAATAATTAATTGGCAAATGCAGGCCAGTGTTAATTTATATACAAACAATGAAGTCTATTGCTCATTCAGAAAGCTTTCAAGGTATGCCCTATGAATTGAGCTTGTCCATCATTGAATGGGACAAAATCTGTGGAGAGAAATCTGGCAACTGTTTGATAGCATAACACACATTTTAGACAGACTGTAATGACTCAGCTAAAAGCAAAACATTTTAAAAGCTGGTGGGAGGCTATTTTTGTTCATTTCATGGTCCCTGTAAATGCAGAATTTTTTTAGACAAATGCTCTAGGTTGTCAGCAGAATTTCTAATCTGAGGTAAAGTGTACAGAAGCATGATCTTACTATTTTTTGTTGTATGTGGATTTGTCAGCCATGAACTTGTTTGTATTTTTAGCCAGAACTGGAACCGGCTCTGAGACTTTGCTAAATTTTAGTTTCAGAATGAATAGTTAGGCTCTAAATCTGCAGAAATCCCACTGAGTGGTAAAATTTTAACAGGCCTGTCAGCACACGTAGCTGCATTAGGCTTTGCTGTAATAGGATCAAACATTCCTGTATGCCAATATTTTCATTTTTTTCAGTTCCTGGAAACTAATTTTCTTAAAACTAAGTGTGACTGATAAAAAATTGTCTCTGACTTCATCTTTTGTTCACATAGAATAAACTACTTAGAGATTTCCACAGAGGCAGAACTTTTTGGCGTTTTTGATTTTATGCTTCAGGAAAACTTTATTCATGCTATTTATTTATTATACTGTTTGAAGAGATTGCCTCTCAGGTATATGCTTGCTGGAGGCAAATCAAGAGAGCCAGTGTTATAACAGAATTGTTACTGCTTGTAAAAAAAAAAATAATAATAATTAAATAAGGCTACCCTATCCCAATTTACAACTATCTAAAAATATATAGAATTTTAGGGAGAACTGTTTCAAGAGGGTGTCGTTTTAAGGTAAGCAGTCTTTGTTTTAAATCTTGAGTAAGACATTTGGTATGGTAGATTATTTTATCATAACAATATGATAATCATAATGATAGCAAACATTCATGAAAGCTGAAATTATATATTGTGCCAACTCGGAATATTTTCAGGTTTTTTTGGTTGAGATAATTTATGAAGCAAAAACCAATCATCTTTTTCTCCTTATGTATCAAAGAGAAAGTAGTAAGTGTTGCAGTTCATTGAACACTTGCTGGGCAAAGTCAAAATCGCCTATGAGTAGTCTGTGAATAGTAAGAACTACACTGTACAAATTACCCAAATACTAGTGCTAATTACTCAAATACTAGTGCTAATACAGTTAGAAATGAGATGATAAAACAAATGTTAACATAAGTGTTACACTGTGTAGAAATGTTGAAGTTGTTCATCTTGAACTGCGTTGGAAGTTGCGTAGTTTACTTTTGTAAGAAATATTTAGGTATGGTGTCCGTTTACTTAGCTGCTGTTCTGCATCAGAAATATTTGCAACAGAATAAGTATAACTTACAAAGTGGTACAGTCATCCATGTGTTTTTCCCGTTTTCCCAAGCTTTGGCCAAGCTACCAAACATATGATAGGGAATTGATCAAGATTTGATTTCATGACAAAATTAAGCCTCATATCGCATTAAATTTAGCGTCCAAGCTCTATGTCCTTTGCACTTAATCTTTTGGAACTTTTTCCTTAAATATCATTATGATATCTTTCCTTATCAAATCACCTTTATACTCATGCTTGGATAACAGGGCAGCAGCTGTTTTATGAAAACAGACGGATGATACAAGTTTTTCTTATTTTCTTATATTCTAATTTTACCTGCAGCTGTTTGTTATTAGAAATTTAATTTAAAAGCTTGGGCAACTAGTAGGACACTGTATGTTTGCAATAATTGCTACTTGTTTGATTTGTCAGTTAGTGTTAATTACATTTTTAATGTTATTTGCAGTCAACAAGATTTTTGCAATTTACATTTTTCACTTTTTCTGTTTGAAATATATTTTCAGTATATTCTAGCCAATATACATTCAATCTTAATTATTTTGATGATTTTCTAGATATCTGAAAGTTAGATATTTGTAGTAGGGGTATTTTGTATGCATGTTGTATTTATAAGCTGTACACAACAGTATATATTTGTGGCTCATTGGCAGATTGCTATTTAATCTGTGCAATGGTGCATTAAGCTTAATATATCCCATAATGTTTTGAATATTTCCTCCTTTGGATCAAAAAAATTCCAAATTACAGAGGCTAAAATTCACAGAGTCAACATTCACCAATGTTTAATTCTCGTTTATATCTAGGATGGCGTTTCCAGTTGTTTTTGTGAACACCAGCCTCTGATGTGCGTATGTATCAAAATGTGTCAGTAGTTTTTGATCTGATCTATATGTAACTTGTAGATTACTGGAGTGAGAGTGATAAGGAGGAAGCTGACACTCCATCAACACCCAAGCAAGACAGCCCACCACCCCCATACGACACATACCCACGGCCTCCTTCGGTAAGTCACCTGCCAGTATCTACTTAGGAATGATTACATCAAGTGTCACGTTTACCTACTCTCCCATTTAAAACACATGCATGCACACATTAGGGCACCCTTCAGTGTATTTTTTGAGTCAGCACTTGACTTAAGGCATATGCTAAGTAACATGCATCGCTGACTGCAACAGCCAGCATTGCTACTTCCACCAGTGTGTAGAGAACTCGTACTGGGATTTATAATCCCAGTCATTGTACAAGATGGATTAAGTTGGAGAAATTTTCTTTCTATTCTCAGTACAAAACAGACCCCTCTATTCATCCATGCAAAACCTCTACCTCCTCCGTATCGTGTTCTCCATCAGAACATTATACCTCGGTAACAGCACAGATTCTTCCTCAGGTGAAACAATTGTGCTATGAAGCTTTACAGTAACAAATTGCACTTGAATTTGTAGAGAAATGCCAACATAAAAATGTTCTCACTCATATCCTAAATGTTGATATAAGTTGTTCTGCTGTTCTTGAAAAAGTATGTTTATCTATGAATTAGAACAAAGGGTATTTGTTTTTTAATTTCTTCTTGCAGCAGATGTTAATATAAAGTCAGGGTATGGACTTCTAACTTATTGTAAATTAGGAATTTAATTTTCACTTCCATATACTCAGCTAATGCATCTTACCTGAATATATAAAAACAAAGCAAAAATTTGGATTGAAAACTTGGGAAAGTCTTGGGGGGAGAGGATGTTCATAATGTTTAATTTGAAAGCAATACTTCTTCTTCCAGAAGCAGAACTGTACCCAAGCAATGCAAACATGATTGCAAAGAAACTTTTAATAAAACAGGATGGCAATAGACATCTGACTGGCATTTTAAAGATAATATTAATGGACCAGGAATTTCTCTTATGTGTGTTCCATAGAGCCTTACTGTGCATGTTATTCTGCAAAAAAAAAAAAACCTGTATTGGCTTATTGTATTGATTGATTGATTAAGGGATATTCTGCACAAATAAGTGTATCAGTATGGTGCCCACAGTTGTCACAGGTGTAAATTTGTGCGTGCCCCAAAGCTATGATCAGGGCAAGTTAGTCTGGATTTTGTGTATTCATTGCCGTCAATAACCGTAGAAAGTATGTGACTATTAGCAGTATTAGCAATCTAAGATTTCTCCGACATTCATGTTGTAGATGAGTTGCACAAGCCCATACGTGGAGCCGAAGCACAGCCGCCTCTCGTCCACAGAGACCTCCCAGTCACAGTCATCGCACGAGGAGTTTCGTCCTGAGGCGGCCGGGGGGTGCGAAAGACGGCGAGCCAGCGGCGCTCCTGGCAGGATCTCATAGAGACGCCGCTGACAAGCTCGGGACTCCACTACCTGCAGACCCTGCCACTGGAGGACTCGGTGTTCTCCGAGACAGCTGTGGTCTCCCCCGAGCACCGGCGGCAGTCCACCCTGCCCACCCAGAAGTGCCACCTGCAAGATCACTACGGCCCCTTCCCCCTTGTGGAGGGGGAGCGGATGCAAGTGCTAAATGGAAACGGAGGAAAGCCCCGAAGTTTCACTCTGCCTCGGGATAGTGGGTTCAACCACTGCTGTCAGAGCCTTTCTGTCAGTGCCACTGATCACCATGAAGAAGCACAACAGAAGGAAGTAGAGGAAGAGGAGGATGAGGAGGAGGAAGGCAAAGCAGCAGAAGAAAATCAGGAAGACAAAAGTAAGTATGGCGTATTTCTGTGGTTTTTCAAGAGTCCTGTTCTTGTAATGTTGTTTTTTTTCCTTTTCCCAAAAGAAGTCTTTTGACATCCCCTAAATTTTACCAAATCCCTCTTGTCAGAGATGCATCAAAAATGACTTCTTTATCTGCCTTATGCATAAGGCTTAAAAGTCTGAGAGCACTGCACAACCTGACATAGATCACCAAACACTTCCCTCGTAGGCTGGTCACCACATAGACCAACCACGTCCTATTAGTAAATCTTGCTTGTAAATGGATTTTGCTTCCTTGTTGTCTTCCTGCTTCCACTTGCTCAGAATCCTCCCCTGTTGACAGATACATGTCTCAGGACATATTTAGTAAGTTTTCCAGCTGAGAGCCAATTCCTGTCTGAGCTGTAAAAGCACTCAGTAAATCTTGGAGTGCAGGGTCAGACTGTGAATGTCTGGCTTTCAGGTGGACAGGTTACAAGAGAGCAAAGAAGATGTAAGAAGTTAAAAAGAGAGTTTTCCCCAGTTCCTCACCTTCTGATACATATATATAGAGAGAGAAAAGTTCCAAAAACATTTCAAACCAAAAAAAAAACCCACTATGTGACTAGCAGGGTTAAAAAAAGTCTTAATGACGAGTAACTGTCTCTTATGTGGCACATTAACTCTACAGAAATTAGTGTTACTTGTCAAAAACAATTGAAATAAACAGGGACTGAGGAAGGGCCCTGCTCCTTCTGAACATGTAAACACATTTCCTTGTCTGTTTCATGCACTGTCCTTCACTGTCATTTCTAGAGCTACTCAGCATGTGTTGCTAGCAAAGTTCGGTCTGCACCCGAGTTGTAGGGTCAGTCAACAAAGTCAGCATCTGTGAATTGTGGAGTTATGCTACGATTAAGTTGTCTGTAGTGGCAAGGAAGGCAAGATGACCTCTGAAGCTCTCAAAGGATCTATGCTGTCTGGTTCCTTCAAATTCAGATTCTTCACTTAGTGAAGAAGTATAAAAATGGTGAAGAGATAGAAAAGGGTAGTGAAAGCTTGAGATAATTAACTGCCTAAGTAAATAAATTGATTAAACTTTAAACTTAGCACCTCTGTTGAGCGCTGACATCATTTAGTCTACACAGGAGAGATCAACAGTTCTCCTTTGTCTTTTAATGAGTAGGTTCAAGACATCTCAAATTCTTACCTTTGAGAAAATTCTTTTGCAGAAATTAAGCTGGATGCCATTAAAAAGAAGAAAAAGGCCTAATGTCAGTTGCATTCTTCTACAGCATTTTCCAGAAAATGCCATACAGTTACAATTATTATTTTCCAGAAAATCCCATACAGTTATTAGGGTAACAGACTCTTAACTAGGCAGCTCCATGTCAACCCATACAGTTATTAGGGTAACATTAGACTCTTAACTAGGCAGCTCCATGTCACACTTTAACAGGGTTAAATTTCATCAACCAGACAGACTGTGTTATCCTAACTATTTTTAGCCTTTAATTTTGGTCTTCAAATGTTATTTTTAATGATAGCATTAAAAAAAAAAGACGTCTTAATCAATGAAAAGGGCAAAGACTTCCTATAGGAGTGTCTGTGCTGTTAGGGTGTTACACAGAGATTCTGTTGCAGGGCCTAAGTTATTAGGCATCTTAAATCTCAATTTTAAGGCTTTAGGGCTTCCAGCTGTGACATTCTATATTGCATATTACTATTAAAGGGCTAGTAGTTGGATTGACGCACCAGAACTTGGGCTCTTCTCAACATTTCCATACTGCCTTCCAAAAAGGGACAAAAAAGTTTAATTTCTGACATGATCTCCCTGTATGTACATACTTTTTTTTTTTTAGGTGAGGAGGTTTTCCTGCTTGAAGCACTAAGGGGAGTTTATTTTTGAGACATTAGTGACCAGCTAAACAAGTGAAGTGCTCATGGTGAATTATTAACCATGGAATTATAAAAACGGAAAGAAAATATTATTTATTCTGTTGAAAAGTTTAAGTGTTGAATTGCTTGTTGCTATGGCTACAATGTTCTGTTTGCAGCACTGGCTTTTTCCAGGGCTGTAACCAGTAAAACACAGGGATTTCATGCAAGTGTCCTTCTTAAGTGCAAAATCCCAATTTCTGGGCTGGGAGGGTCATCATTTGCTTCTAATTGCTGAGTCTGCTGACCCGATGGGTGCACTTGTGCGTGTTACGTCATTGCCCCCGCCACCTCCATTGTTCTGGGAAAACAGCATGTTGAAACTGGGGGAGGAGGGGATCCTCTCCCTGTTAGAAAGGTTTTAACCTCTCCCAAAGATTTACCCTTGAACCTTCTGTGACTTGGTATCATACGAACCTTTTAAATTCCTTAATTTGCCTTATACGTTTGTGATCCTTACATCGTTCTAAACTTGTGGATGATTATATGTGTTCTTGTGTTTCTGTGTATGTGTTTTAAAGCTTAATCATTCCTCTTGCTTCTTGTGTGGGACAAGGACTACAGCTCCTTTGCAATTGTTGCCAAATGAGTCAAATGTCGTTGCCAAAAGTTTGTTTTCTCAGCTTTTTGTTTTTACGTTCCCACTTTACTTTTAAAAAACTCTCAAATTTAAATCAAATAGTAAAGTGCAGGCATGCTTCTTCCAACCTCTTTTGAAGAAATATTTTCAAATAACCACATCACAGACTAGGTGGGATCTGTGCACTATTTCAGATGCTGGTCTCAGCTGCTGTAATTTAACATAGTTTTACTGACTTCCTACCAAGCTACTTGGATTTGCAACAACTCAGAATCTGCTCTCTATCTTTTAATCACTCCTATATACCTTGAATAGATACTGCAAGAACTTACTGACACCGTGAATAATCCTATGTATCAGTTTGGCTGCAATGCCTAGATACGTCATAGTTAACTAAAAATATGGGTTGTTCTTTCCTGTGTTTATCTGTTAGGACTTTAACTTTGTTGTGTGTTCAGTTGCTTCTTTTTGTCTCGTTATATCACATTGACATTGCACTGCTAATCTTTAATTGGTTGATTATTTTATTCCTGTAATTCCAATGACTTTTTCCTAAATCATTTAGTTGTTCCATATTGACACCGTCCTGTAATAGTCTCTTGTTTTCTAATCGAAGAAGATTCTCATGTGGGACATTTGTGTTTGTCCATGTGTTTGCTCCCGAGATTATGAAAACGGCAGATGATATTCAGACTTGTGGCACCAAACATCCTCCCGTCTCGCTGTGTTGCTCTAAAGCAGTCTGTGCACAGAGCACATGCTAATTGCTGTGGCACAGCGCGTTACGTTTCTGTGATTCAGGCATGAAGGACAAGTGGTGACTTTTCAGGTTTGTCTTCTCCTGGTTGGAGGTAACGGATTGAGACAGCTGTGCACCGTGCCTCTGCCGCCTGCGTCCCCACAGGCCCACGTCCCTCAGCACTTTGACATCGGTTCCATCACTTGATGTCAAAGAGCACCTAGGATCTTCTTGGCAGAGCAGTTTGGGCTTTTGTCCCAGGAAAGCATGCTTCATTTCTTGCTTTATTATCCAAAAGCTTTGCTGGAGGTTGCTCTTTCATTTTTGTAGGTGTCTGTGGTTTGTGGGAAAGTAGTCATAGGAAGGACTTTTCTAGGCATTTAGCGTTCAGGAGAAACAAATGCTAATTCTCTGAAGAATGTAACTGACTGGAGACCCCACTGACTTACCCACAGAGGAATGTGCACCTTTCTGCTTATTCCCTGAAACAGTCCCTGGGGTGCCAGAACATCAGTGGGAGTCAGTGCTGCTCTCCTGTGCAGGCTGGTGCTGGGGAAGAAGCTCTGCTGCTCAGTTAAATGCACTCCGGGGCTGGTCGGAGCAAAGGGGAGCCGGTTCCAGGCATTACAACAGTGTGCAAAGGACCTTGCACTTGTTCAGGAATGTGGATTAAAAAAAAAAACTTTTTTTGAGTATGAAGAGGAACAGGAAAAAATCACTAGGCTGTTTTCTCACTCATCAGACTCATTTCCTCCTGCGTTGTTCCTGATCTCTTCATCCTGTCTGTGCTTCTGCAAGTTTTCTGTCCTTTTCCTGCGCTCTAGGTACTGTAATTCCTGCCAACGTGTGTTGTAGGGTTTTATGCTGCTACCCATCACCGTAACTTTGGAGTATCTTCTTCAGAGGGTGAACAATTATAATCAAGTCTGAAATAGATTTAAATAAATCCATGGCTAACCACTGGGGGGAACTGAAAGGGGTTGATGTTCTTTTCTGTTTGTTGCATAGATTTTTTTTTCACTGGAGTGTTTATGAGGCTGTGACAGTCTTCCGTGTGTGACGTGTGTCATGTTGAAAAGGTTTTGCAACATTTCCTAAGAGTGGGCATGCTCACTTGTATTCCGTGGCATTTTGGTCCATCACTGTCAGCCCTTGTTTAGGTGTGTGACACCTGCAGGTATCCTTTGCTTAGTCCCACACAGTCTAATCTGCATTATCCCGGAGGAAGATGGTAGCCTCATATTCCAGTTTCTGAAACTGGGCTCTTTTCCTTAAAGCACTGAAGACACTTGCCAAAGGCTGGAGCAGGAGCTGCTGCTGGTGTTTCTCATTTCTGCAGCTCAAGAGAAGTCCAGCCCCACAAAGGTGTTCAGGAAAGCTCCCCTTAATTTCAGCGAGCACTAGGCACTGACAGCAGAGTTAAATATCTGCTTGCTCTGAGGTACCAGGCATGAGACTTTTTTCTTTTCTCCAGTAAAAATATTAGCAACCAACAAGAGAATAAGAAGAGAAACTGAAAGCAGTTTTTCCAGCACCACCTACCTGTCTTAGAAAGGACATTCAAGATGTTTCACAAAATAGGACAGACAGTTCAAGGACTCCCATGACTAGAAACATGTAGGATTCACACACCATGCCCAGGGAGGTATATCTGTGGGAGATCCTAGGCAGTGTTTGCTTTCAAGAAGGAGCTCGTACTAGTAAAAAGACATACTCTGAATACTAGTAAAAAGACATACTCTGAATACTAGTAAAAAGACATACTCTGAAT